ACGGAAGCACATAAAAGGGATACCCCCACTTAATTTCCCAACTTTCTTATTTCTTATCCGATTTTCACCAAACTTGGTGTGTATGTGTATAATCAAATTCTGAATCGATGCAAATATTGGATTTTTGTTGTGCGCATGCGCATTACCAACTTTCTTATTTCTTATCCGAATTTCATCAAACTTTGTATGTATGTGTATAATACAATTCTAAATTTAATGAAAATATTGAATTTTTGTTCTGCGCATGCGCATTACCAACTTTCTTATTTCTTATCCGAATTTAATCAAACTTGGTAAGTATGTGTATAATCCAATTATAAATTCGATGGAAATAACGAATTTTTGTTGTGCGCATGCGTATTACCAAATTTATTTCTTATCCGGATTTAATCAAACTTGGTCTTTAGTAATTAACAAACATTCTTTTATTCCTAGTCAATATACATAAAACTCTAGGCACTTTTGTATATTTGAATTTAGAGATGCAGAAAAGTATTTACATCAATATAATTGCAATAGACCATCTTCGTATGTACCTGAATGTTGTAACACGCCCTGCATCAGTACTGTTATTAGAACAGTTCTAGTTTTATTTATTACCGAGGTAGAATCCAATCAAAAAATACACGAAAAACATTGTCGAATAAAAATTGATTAGCCTATTATCACTATCTCATTTTAATTTTGCAGGTGATAAACGAGTCAATGTAGTATCTGGTTTGACCGCTCTTCACACAGTGTTTGTGCGTTATCACAACCTAATTGCATCACAACTATCCACAATCAACCCTTCATGGGATGATGAAATTCTATTTCAAGAAACAAGAAGAATCATTGGCCCTATAATACAAAAGATAACTTATCATGAATATCTACCATTATTGATAGGACCAGCTGCTATGAGTCAATATGGGTCAGTATTTGTTAGATCTCTTCCATCGCAAAATAAACCATCATTTCGGGTCCAATTCTCTCAATACCCAACCTTGTAAAAATAGATTACACAGTAGATTCTGTTGTTCTGTTATATTTTGTCCCCGTTTTAATCTAGCCATTTATTTTTCAAGTTCTTTATAACGGTAG